AAAATTTCTCCCGAAAATTTCGTCTTTCAGACAACATATAGAACCCTATTGTCAAAAATACCGACTTTCAAAAGGGCGTAACAACAAATTAGTCATTTCCGCAAGTAAGAAGTCCTAAAAAGCAAGAAGTATTTCGGGAAAACGTAAATTTATGCCAATAATTAAGTAAAAACAAGTACGAAAGTATTGTCGGGCATGGCCGACCATATGATACCCTACACCATCGAGTATGTAAAAAATGTGGATTATTTTTAATAATAAAGCATTTAAGTTATTACCTTAATTCCGAAATATTTTAACAATTTGTTGAGAAAAAGTGATTTTCTAGAAGAGGAGTTATATGGGGTCAAGGGTAAATATTGGCCTATCCTTATAAATTTTGGTAAATGGCTTTACGTTTACATTAAAGTTATGTATGCTGAATCCCCACCAAATTACCCAAAGGGTACTTTGGGTGGGAAATAAAGTCCGATAATTACGAAAATCGTTAGTATTATTAAGACGTATATACAATACAATATTTAACATAATTATTAACTCAAAGGCCCTTTTCGGGGATTGGGTTGTATGGGGGCTACGTGAAATAATGGACCGATTTCAATCATTTTCAATAGGGCCGAAAAACACGTCCTTGGGCCGAAAAACACGTATGGTCCAAATTTCATCAAAATATCTTGAAAATTGCGACCTGTACCTTGCGCTCAAAGTTTACATGAACAGACGGACGGACATGGCTTAATCGACTCAGAAAGTGATTCTGTGTCGATCGGTATACTTTAAGGTGGATGTAGGACCAATATTTTTGTGCGTTACAAATATCAGCACTAACGTTTAATACCCTACCCACTATGGTGTGTAGGGTATAATGATATCAATAGAAATTGTTGCTTATTTTTGATGAAATAAATTGGTATTATTATTTGCGAGTCCATAGAAAGTTATTTCTGATCAAATTTCCGAAATTAAGTATCATTAACCCTTTAAAACCCGGAGTCAAAATAAAAATTCTCGGGGGAATAATTCAATACTTTTTTAACCAATATAAAGTTTTTCTAACTTTGTATACATTACGCTTTTGCTATAAAATGGTGCAAAAGTGAATTTTTTCCATATAAGAGCATTTACTAACTTTGCCGACGATGCGCGGGCTTTTACCCTCAAAATAATTGAATAATATTTTACAGTCTTCCATTAGACGTTGAAATAGAACATAATTTCTCTATTATAAGTTGATTAGAGAGAGTAAAGCCTATTTTCGAACCACCCATACGTAACATGTTGTACTTGTTGTATTTAGTTTTTATTCTGGCTTGAAATCTACTAGATTTGCGTAAACCTCTCAAGATGTTTCCACTGATCTTATTCGTTTTTTGATATTCGAGTTTTCGAACAAATCATGTCATTTTATTTTGATATAAAGAAAATAAAGTAAATTTTCTTTAAATTTAAACAAAAATACAAAATTACAGTTGTAATTGTATAAATTTATTTATTTAATGCCACTAATTTTGAAATTATATTTTGGTCTTTTTTTCACATCGAAATTAAATGAAATCATTCCATTTGCATTTGTAGCTTATAGTTGTATTTGCTTATGTCAAATTTCATTACTCTGATTTTTAAGCCAGTTATGACTGTTTAAACTGTATTGCAGGTGTCACTTGTATGAGGGCCAGGTGAAACCGTGAACCGATCTTGCCCACTACTACATCCTTAATTTCATTTCATTTGTTAGATCCAATTTAAAACTGAAAAAATTAACCTTATAGTAATTAAAGTGAATGTATGTATGTATGTATGTATGTATGTATGTATGTATGTATGTATGTATGTATGTATGTATGTATGTATGTATGTATGTATGTATGTATGTATGTATGTATGTATGTATGTATGTATGTATGTATGTATGTATGTATGTATGTATGTATGTATGTATGTATGTATGTATGTATGTATGTATGTATGTATGTATGTATGTATGTACATTAGGATTATAACTTTTTGCAATTTTGCGAATATCAAAAATACCATAGCAAGACCTTGTAGGGCGGGAACAGATGTTAAGGAATATGATATTATTTTTTCGCGATCGTGAAAAAATTTCCGCACCAAAGGCGATGAAGTGTTGTATAAATATTTTTGCATTTATATTACATTATCTTAAAGAGAAAATTGTTCCTAATGTACATATGCATGGCGGTTACATAGAATAAACAGGCTGCGCTGAATCCGAATCAGACTTTCTGTACCAGAACTGGTATTCGAGATATCGTATCCTGAAATTAAAAAAAAAAAAACGCTATTTTGGTCCTTTTTGAGACGTTATAACAGCGCCAAAACAACTTTATACATATAATGTTGAATGCCATCTTGAAGTTCATTCTACTATAAGCTTTAAAATAATGGTTTAACATCCGACATATCTTCTTACTTCCTCGATACATCTTCAACCAAAAATTGATACAACAATAAATTTACAAATCTATTCGTACCTTTCGCCTTTATTATTTCCCAATTTTTAAAATTTTTTTCTTATAAAAATACTTTTGGAATTGTTTATAAAATCTGCTGTAATTGCTGAGATATCATCATTGAAGTTGATGGATGGACAGACATTGTTAAATCGAATCAGAAAGGGATCCTCAGTTTAGTGTGTATCGAATATTTTTGTTTGTATTACGCTGCAACTAGGGATGCCAATCCCGATCCCGAAAATCGGGATCCTGGGAATTTTTCGCGATTAGGATATCCCAAAACCCGCGACTTTTTAAAATGAATCCTGGGATTTGTTTCAATTTTTTTTTTTATTTTCTTTATTGAGCCATAATTTTTATTAGTTTGAAAATTACGATCTTATTTTTTTGACTTATGCAAAACTAAATTCAGCACAGAAAATTGCATACATATTTGAACCTTTTATTTTTTTAAATAGTATGATTCCATAAACATAGTACATATAAATTGACACATGAAAACCTCATAGGACCTCCTCTGAAAATCACATTGATGTTCATTAGAATGACCGCAAAAAGTCGATGTTGGAATCTTTTTCATCTTAACCCCATAAAATGATTCCGCTTTCCAGATATTGAGATAACTGAAACTTGAGCTCGATTAATAGATGTTAACACATGCCGCTCGTCGCTCAAACTTTGAAAAATCCAAATTTTTGGCCAAAAAGCTAACATATAAAGATATAACTCCAGAACGGTAAATAAGGTAATGGACACGCTTAGTACCTCAAAACAAAGCTAATATTGTATGTACTTCAAAATGTATATTATATACATAATTCTTGCTACTTAAAGTCAAACAGATTTTGTCTCCAAAAACGTGACCTGGTCGCGGTAGGAGCATATTTCGTATACATATTTTGATATTATGTGATAAATATTGCTATTAGGTAAATTTTTATATATTAAGAATTTTTATTATTTAAAGAATCATAATGTACATAGATTCAGTATTTCAAAAAGTTGTAAAACACAAAAATTGGTTGAAAAATGTAAAAGTTATTAAAAATTCCGCAGGCCATTAACGTGTCTTAGAGCGCTTGATTAGGAAATGTGGAAAAAATTAACTTATTTTAGAAAATATTCTAATAAAACTATTTTATATCTATATTTACTCAAATATAAGTTTTTGTCCTTAAAAGATATCGTGAACCTGTCCTCAGCTATGATAAAAAAAAAATTTTTTTTTGACAAATTTAAAAATTTTTGTAATATCACCGGGGGATAAATTAGGCAATAAAACAGTGAAAAAATAGGTCAATACCTCTTATAGTTTAGCTGTACTTGCGATTTGAATTCTGCGAATTTCGCGAAAAACTAATTTGTATTGTTAATATTTTACAAAATATGTCCTAATTCTTTACTGTTATACATTTTAAACAAAATATTTACAGAATATTATTTCTCAGATAATATAAAATATGTCCCTGAAGTTATATATAAATAGGGAAATCCTAAGGCGTAAACTTTGGAGGTCAAAGGTGAAATTTTGCAATATTTGGAAATTCTCATTGTAACATACATATCTAAATATTATTTATTTGTTGACCATATTTATTAAAATTACAGGAATTTATAGTATATTGTCGGGTTTGCAATTTTTAAAATCCCGAATCCTGTCATTTGTAAAAGCCAGTCCCGTTTGGCATCCCTAGCTGCAACAGTACTTCGAAGAATGTCGAATTATTTGTTTCTCACAAGAATTGAGAAATTATAACTTTGACTTCTTTTAAATCTAAAAACATTTGGGTCAAATGGAAATGCATTTTGATTTTATCAAATTAACTTAGGTTTGAACATCTTTATCAATACTATTACTCTGGATATTTGTAAAATATATTTAATGAATCATCTGGTAACCTTGTTTTAACCAAGAGAGAATAGTATTCACAAGATACTATTCGTATGTGTGGATTTTTTTTATAAGAATTTGGTCGCTATAAAGTATCTCACAGATACACATTTATTGTAAGAGAAAAACAACAGCTAGAGATACATGAGAGTGTGCGAGAGAATCAATAATAGTCACTAACAAATTTCTTTGCATTTTCTGAATTTAGTTGGTGTTTAAAACTAGTCCGCACAACACGTTGGCGTATAGTAATAAAGCAAAATAAAATTTAAAGAAAAAAATTTTATAGAATTTATTTTTTATATTTTTATAAAAAAAAATCTGCTGACACACAACTAAACGGTATCAAAGTGTGTGTACAAAAAATACTATATTATCAACAACAACAACAGCCACAATAAAATTCATACAACCAGAAAGAAAAACAACCAAAAAGTCTGAAGAATATGTAATACAAAACGTAAAAATTTAATACTTCGTTTTTTAAAAAAAGTTTAATTTTTTATAATTAATAAAAAAGAATAAGTGAAAACATAATATAAATAAAGAAATAAAGAAAATATTCACATACATATGCATATCATTTGATACAGAACGAATAATTAAATTGAAATAATTTGTTAAAAAAAATAAAGAAGATATTGCACATGTGTATATAATAAATTTGAATATAAGTTATTGATTATTGAAAAAATAAATAAATAAAAAGTGCAAAACAAAAAAAAAAAAAAAAAAAGAAAAATAATTTTCGTGAAACAATTTCCGGGCTGATTTCTTAACATAATTTTGTTTCTTTTTGATTTCGAAGAAAATTTTTAAATAGACAAAAATCATTACGATTTATTTTACATAGAACTGAAAATACATACAATTAAACTTACGTACGAGAGAGTACCGACCGTCCGACGTACAAACAAACATACATTCATTCTGCACGTAATCGGTTGGTTGTACATGTGAATGTGTTTGTATCTTTTTCACTTGTGTGTAGGAATTCTAAAATCCAACTACAGAAACAACGACGACCACAATCCGAGCAGAAAAAGAATCATCATCATAACATTGGACACAAACAATTTTGCTCTTTATTTTGTTGTGCTCTACTGGTGGCCAACCCGAGTCGGTGTATGCTGAATTTAAACATTTTGCCTGTGCTTATTAGAGAGAGAGCGCCAGAGATTGTACTTGTTCGCTTTTTATCGCCTTGCGCTACGAGCCGTAACACAATAAGCCCCACTCCCCCGTTTGGTTCAAGTGCTCCGCTCTTGCGGCTGTCATTTTATGAGTTTAAAAAATAAAACCAAACAGCAACACAACAGCAATCTCAACATTTGATTTGGTTTATTTTTTATTTTTTGTTGGTTTCTTCTCTGCATATTTTGTTAAATAAAGCAAAAATAAAGTAAAACAAGACTTCATGTAACAATAAAAATAAAATCAGAGAGAAAGATTACAAATCGATTGATACTCGTCCCCCATTTAAAAACAACAACTACATCCATCTTCACTGTAAATAACAGTATAGGGGAAAACAATAATAATCCATCAATCGCTTTGGAATTTAAGCGCAACAACAATTGTGGAAAACTTGACAACTTATCAACCAAACCGCCCGCCCGACCATCTGTAGTTCACATTTAAAGAGGAAATCTAAATAGTTCTTTTAAAAATTGAGGATTTATCGCATACCAGTCGTCCGATAGATCTATTATTTCCTCTTACTTGGGCCAAGTGCAATAATAGTAATGATAATTTAACATTGAAAATAATTAAAAGGGTGTTTAAGTAGCGACTGGAAGAGAGATTAAGAGGAGAGAACGAAAAACCATTACACGATTTGTAAAATACAACCGGTGAAATTCGCCCATTATACACTTGCAGAGGTGAAATATTAAATACTACAAGAACACCAACAACAACTGCTGCTGACAACAGCAGCAGAGTGATTTGTTTTTAAAAATTCAAAACACGTAATATTTGTTTGCTGCCTGAATGAATGTTGTTGTACTTAAGAATTTATAAATTTATAAATTTATAAATACTTAACAATTGTTGTGTTTATTAGTTTTCTACAAAATTGCGAACAAACACAAAATAAAATTAAAATAATAAAATAAAATAAAAAGACCAGCAACCAACAACAAACCTCAATTCAAAATTAAATGTGTGAAGAAACCGAGTTAAAGAAATAAAAAACAACTATTTTAAAACGTGGTTAGACTGAAATATATGAAATAAAACAACAACAAAATCGTACCTCATATTGGCATTATACATATGTATGTTGCTGTTGTTGTTTTTTATGTTTTGCCGTATTTGTTTTATGCAGTGAATAGTGAAAAATTAATTATTATTGCTCTTTATTTATGTTCTGTGTTTTTTTGTACGTGTGCTCGGGTGTGTTTTTGTTATTGCTTTTGAGTAAATGTCATAAACATACATACATTTCATACATAAATAACGGTGTATGTGTGTGTATCGGGTGTTTTATGATTTGTTTTTTCGCATAAACCTCTCTAAACAAAATCTATTCTATTCAAAACAAGCAATAATCTAATGATCTATTTTTAAATACATATTAGATATTTAGATGGATAGATACAAAGATACAACAAAACAAAATAAAACAAACTAAACTAAATAAACAAACAAGCGAGCGAGCAAAAATAATAAATAACGAAAAATTAAATAAAAAATAACAACAAGATAAATTCAACAATTTTTCAAATGTAGTTGAAAATAATTTAAATAAATTTCACTAGCAACCTAAACATATCAATTATACTACAATAATTCATACATATAAATAAATAAATACAAAACATAATCAAAAGTTCTCTAAGAACAATATTTTATTTAAAATAAAATCAAATTAAAAATCATAATCATATCAAATTGTTTGAATAATAATAGAAAATAAAATATCACATTTAAATTAAAATAAAATTTAATCAAATGAATTGGATAAAGAAAAGCACAGGCGATCAATAAAAAGCTGCATAATAAATAAATTAATAAATCATGTAAGTTCATATTGATATTATCCAAAAAATTTATATTTGTTATACAGATCGTTCATTCGCTTCAATAGTGTCCTAACTCAATATTGGGTCCTATTTAAAACTGTTTATGAAATATTAAAAAGTCTTGAAATATTCAAAGCCATTTGTTGTGTTATTGCACTATTGAAGTAAATGCTGAATTTAAACAGTTTCATGATATTTGTTTTTCATTTTGAAATTTCGAAGAGTGCGAATCAGATTATTGTTAGTTATATTCGGCTATGTCGAGTTCCATTAAAACATGTGCATTAAAAAATAACACTGATGCTACCTTTTATTGGATTTGAACGTCATTCTTATTTTTTTGTTGGATCAATATGTCACATCATATCAATATGTCGATCATTTACTACAAGATTGGCATAATCCAATATACGGTTTTTATACCCTCCACCACCATCAGTGGTGGTAGAGGGTATATATAAGTTTGTCGTTCCGTGTGTAACACCAAGAAATATTCATCTAAGACCCAAGAAAGTATATATATTCTGGGTCCTTATGAAATTCTGAGTCGATTTAGCTATGTCCGTCTGTCCGTCTGTCTGTCTGTCTGTGTAAAATACGCTCACGTTAAAACTAAGCAAAGGCAATCAACCAAATTCACCCAAAATATTTATTATTATCCTAAGCAGTTTGGTATTGAAAATCAGCAAAATCGGTTCACAACGTAAAAAGTTATGAGTAAAAATTTCAGACTACCTCGAAAAAAAATACGTTTTTTTCATAATTCTTTTGAAATTTTCTCAGAAACTACCAAAGATATTTCGATGAATTTTGTCATACGTTATTTTTTCAGGCAGTGACCAATTATATTCAAAATCTTTACAATCGATCCGATATTTCCCATAGCCCCCATACAAAGGTATATATTCCCGGAAATTAGTTTATCGTTAATAACTCCCTCAAATATATCGGTATCAACACGAAATTTTGTACATGTAAATATAATATGAACAGAAATCATACTGTCAACGTAGATCTCAGTCGGTCCACAATTGGTCATAGCTCCCATATAAGGTCCACTTCCGAAAATCAGCTAAACGCACATATTTCATTGACGAATAAAACTATTGCGATAAAATTCGAGTTGGATATGTCTCGTGTACATACAAATCATTTTACCAAATTTTTTTACGGATCGGTCCATTATTGGTCATAGCTCCCTTATAAGGCCCACTTCCGAAAATCATTTAAAAGCTCATATTTCATTGTCAACTAAAGCTATTTTGATGAAATTCGACACAAATATGTTTAGTCTAAATATAAATCACTCTACGAAATTTTTTCCGGATAGGCCCATAATTGGTCATAGCTCCCAAATAAGGTCCACTGCCGAAAATCACTTAAACGCATATATTTCATTGAATTATAAAGCTATCGGGATAAAATACGACACAAATCTGTTATGTATACATACAAATCATTCTACAAAATTTTTTACGGATCGGTCCATAATTGGTCATAGATCCCATATAAGGACCACTTCCGAAAATCACTTAAAAGAACATATTTCAATACCAAGTAAAGCTATATTGATAAAATTCTACACAAATATGTTTTAACTAAACATGAATCATTCTACGAATTTTTTTCCGGATAGGCCCATAATTGGTCATAGCTCCCATATAAGGTCCACTTCCGAAAATCACTTAAACGCATATATTTCATTGAATTCTAAAGCTATCGGTATAAAATTCGACAGAAATATGTTTTGTGTGCATTCAAATCATTGCACTATTTTTTTACGGATCGGTCCCTTATTGGTCATAGCTCCCATATTAGGCCCACTTCCGAAAATCACTTAAAAGCACATATTTCAATGTCAAGTAAAGCTATCTTGACAAAATTCGACACAAATATGTTTTGCCTAAACATGAATAACTCTACCAAATTTTTTCCCGATAGGCCTATAATTGGTCATAGCTCCCATATAAGGTCCACTTCCGAAAATCACTTAAACGCATATATTTCATTGAATTCTAAAGCTATTGGGATAAAATTCGACTTGAATATGTTCTGTGTACGTACAAATCATTTTATAAATTTTTTACGGGTCGGTCCATTATTGGTCATAACTCCCATATAAGGCCCACCTACGAAAATCACTTAAAAGCACATGTTTCATTATCAAATAAAGCTTTCTTGATAAAATTCGACACAAACATGTTTTGTCCAAATATGAATCACTCTGCGAAATGTTTCCCGAATAGGCCCATAATTGCTCATAGTTCCCATATAAGGTCCACTTCCGAAAATCACTTACACGCATATATTTCATTAAATTCTAAAGCTATAGGGGTAAAATTCGACTTGAATAAGTTTTGTGTACATATGAATCATTTTACCACTTTTTTCTCGGATCGGTCCATTATTGGTCATAGCTTCCATATAAGGTCCACTTCTGAGAGTCACTTAAACACACATATTTCATTGTCAAATAAAGTTAATTTAAGAAAATTTGACACAAATATGTTTTGTCTTTACATAAATCACTCTACGAAATTTTTTGCGGATAGGCATATAAAACATTGTACCAAATTTTTTCTGGATCGGTCCATATTTGGTAATAGGTCCACTTCAAAAAATCCCTTAAACGCACATATTTAATTATCAAATAAAGATATATTGATAAAATATGATTTGTGCACATATGAGTCACTCTGCGAAATTTTTGCGGATAGGCCCTTAATTGCTCATAGCTCCTATATAAATTCCACTTCCTAAAGTCACCTAAACGCACATATTTCATTGATTAATAAAGCTATTGGAGTAAAATTAGACTTGATCTTTTTCTGCATATAAATCATTGTACGAAATTGTTTCGTAATCAGTACATAATTGGTCACAACTCCCATATAAGGACCATATCTGAAAATTACTTAAACGCACATTTTATACATAGATATAAAATTTGACATAAATGTGTATTTTGTATATATGTATGTATATAAATCATTATACGGATTTTTTTCTGGACCGGTCCATAAGTTGTCTTAGCTCCCATATAAGGTTAACTTCTGAAAATCACTTAATAACACTTATTAAATTATTATATCCGGATAAAATTCGACATGAGTATGTTCTGTGTATAGATAAATCATTCTATTAAAATGTTTTCGAACTGGCGTATTAATATAAATTTTTCTGGACCTAATCAAAATTAGTTCGACAAAAATTTTGGCAAGTTATCTAAAAATTAGATAGTTAGATGAGTTTCAATAATAAGTAGCTTGCTGGTGGAGGGTATTTAAGATTCGGCTTAGCCGAATATAGCACTCTAACTTGTTTAACTTAAAATATGTGTCATATTAAAGTCTTTCATATATTATTTTCGGTTTGCGAGTGCTTTTTGTAAACGTTAAAATTAAAACCCAAGGTTTCACGTATATTTGATAAGTAAGTAAATTTAATTAAAGTCCAGATGAGAAACATATTAACGTCAAATTTATATATCAGAAATTCATCGATCTAATTGAAAGATAAATGTCACAAAACATTCCATGCTGTTTTACTCAAAACCATTTCTTATTTATGCCAGTCTTGTAGCAACTGAACGATTTTTCAGATAGGTTTGAATTAGGGTGCCAATCGGGATTGGTTTTTAGGATTCTTAAATAAACCCGGAATTCCGATATCGGTTTCCCGGGATTTCTAAATCCCGAAAAATATAAAAAAATTAAAAAATCTTAATAATTTACCGACAAAAATAAAATTTTCTATTTCATATTGCAATATGAATACACTTAGTAGGTGTTTACTTTCCAATAAGCATTTTGTGAAAAGAAAAACAAACTGAATAGTAGAATAAAAACCTACTTCTGAGCAAAAGCTCAGCTCATGATTTCCAAATTTACAATGGTTTCCAAATTATCCATGATTTCCAAATTGTCTTAAAAAGAGAAGTGCTTAAAAAGAGAAGTGCCGCAATGAAATTCAGCATAAATACATTTTATGTAACCGTAAATTCGTCCTCCAAATTTTATGAGGATCGACTCATATGAAGACTTCCCCCAAGCACATTTCAGAAAAATGGTTTTTTAACAATAAATTGCTAAAATATATCGGAGGCGAGGTATAAATGAACTTAAATGATTTATTATGAAAACTAAATCACATTTTACTCTCATAACTGGCGTAGGGGGTTATATGGTCGGCCGCCTATAATTTCTTACTTGTTATTTTTATATATCCGATAGTAATTATTGCCCTTTTTATTTTTGATACTTCAGCTTGTAAGTTAGTAGACTCATCTTATGTCCAAAAACTGTTAAAATTCTCTTATTTAATACTTTATAATGTATAAAATAGCGGAAAAACACTTAAAAATTTCCCGGGATTTCATTTTTCAAAATCCCGGTTTTCGGTACTTTCAAATCCCGAAAATCCCGAGATTTTCGGGAATCGGGAATTCCCGTTTGGCATACCTAGTCTGAATCAGGGTTGGCAAAATTGGTACATTTGTACTTTTTTGGCCTCCAGTAGGTTAGTGGTTAGTGTTCTAGTCTGGTAGACCGGAGGTGGTGGGTTCGATTCCCACCTGAGGCATCGGTTTAGGAGCGCACATCAGGCCCGATAGAGGCCTAGTTGTATTTCTTCGGATTTGATGTATATATGTACATACTCCTTTCAAACTAACTAACTAACTGGTACAATTCAATCCTCAAAAGTACAATGATACACCAATGACCATTTATGTACAATTTTAAATTTATTTCCTTATTGAAATAATAATCTTAAATTGTACTTCTGACGCAAAGTTCAAAGGACTACCTACTTCGGTAAACTAAACTTCAGAAGAGGAAAATACAATTCTTGTTTATATTCTCTCATATTGTTAATCAACTTGCAAGAGATTACAACCCGGCAAGCAGTAATAATTTCTAATAAAGATTGTACCTACTTCTTTAGGATTTCTTTTTTAACCGATCGCTAAAATTTTAAAAAAATTTGAAGGTTTTTTAAATACTATTTCGAATAGTAGTGACGCTTAGTGGTAGGCTAAGTAGGTGCATTAAGACAGTCCCGCCGAACTCCAACGTAAAATGTTATCTATATGTGTATGCAATTTTATAACTTTTGAGCAGATGTGATCCAAATTTTGACAGTATTTAGTTAGATAACGTAAAATTTAAAAATGAAAGAACATTGAAAACATTCGAAAGTCTTTGTTAGGAGGCGTGAATATAACAATAATATTATTTTGGCTGTGTCGGATCTAATGTATTCATTATTGAAACATATTCAAAATTAAGTTCTTTTTTTGGAAGATGGGTGGTCTTTAGAAATATTGTTTCTATATTAAAGAATATCTAAATTTTCAAACTTCGAAATCGGTTATTTTTTTACCTTGCGGATTTGAGCAAATAGACGTTTGCAATTTGATTTTACATTTCATATTGTTAGTTAATTTTTTCGTTTGATTTTTTAAGCAGAAGGTTCATATTTTCTAAAATAAGTTTTGTGGCCTAAGTTTACATATCTAATTCAATATAAATTTACTATAGCACGTACCCTCTATTACATGCGATTTGAAGAGCCCTGCATTAATGTTTCGTGGAATGCAACTTTCGGTATTCGACAGGATTCGGCTTCCGCCCGTTTTTGGTTAATTTATGACGCTAGATTGCATATTTTGACGACTCTGCATCGCAAAAAGCCATTCTCGGGATTAGTTTTAAAATTTTGAAGAAGTTTAGACATACATTTGTATATGAAGTCGAAAATTTAAGTAGATGGACTCATACAATATTACAACAAATACATCTATTACTACTTATGAAGGGTACTAGTAAATCAACTTATTACAATTCCAGGGAGATCATATAAAACAATGGTAATAAAAAGCACGATCTAATTAGATCGTTTTTAAAGAGTACCAGGGAGCGCAAAATATTCAAATAAAATTTCTATAACTTGGAGATTCAGCAAAGACCGAAATACTAACACAAACAAATCAAACCAAGAGATCGAGAGAAACTACACTAAAGAGAATTGCGAGTAGTGACTGAGAGAACAGTTTTGGATGTTTTTAGAAAAAAAAAACTACAACATCGGTATTTGTATTTATAAGTACAACTTTGAGACGGAGACGTGCGTATTGCATCTGTGTGTAATTATCAATGGCTGATTGCCTAATCTTAATGGTATTGGTTTTGTCTCTTGTATCTGTGTGTTTGCTAGTTGCTTGCTGTTCAATTTCTATTTCTGAGTGTGTGTACTTCAGTCTGCTTGTGGCGCCATGCATGACGCCGCTGTCGTCGTTACTATTATTTCTTTTATTACGTCAGTGGCGCCCACTGGCGCCTGATGTTTAAGCTGCTACCTTCAACTGATTTAATAATTTGTTGCTACTTAGTTCACTTAACAGGGAGTAAAAATTTAATAGTAACTAAATAACTGACTGGCTGGTTGGCTGACTGGCTTGCTTACGAACTGACTGACTAACTCGCCTAACAGACTGATAGACAGCCAGACCAGACCAGAGGAATAGTAGTATGTATGTATATGTTTGTATGTATGTATGCATGAGTTATTATTATTTTTTTATTTCATTTTATTCGTTATTTAGCCTGACTAACTGCACGCAAACAAAAAATATTCAAGTGTGCACAAAGGAAACTTTGTTTCTAGTGCCAGTTAGACGCCGCTAATGTGGTCGTGTTTAGTCTACTCTAACGACATTTTTAGTTTGATGGTTGGTGCCACAAACAAGGTGTGATAAGGAACACAAATTTCAAAATAATTAGATTTTTTCAATAAATTACTATCTTATGAAAACGAATATTGAATATGTTACTAGATATTCTAATGTATGAAATAAACAAAGAGACAGACTGACTGACGGCCGGACAGACGTAAGGATACACAAGACACCAAAACTTTTTATTTCAACCTCCATTTGCTGATTTGTTAGCAGAATGAATGTATAAACACATAAAGTTAGACTGGCTGGATGTCTACTTGGCAATCTGTCTGAATGCTTTGTTGGCTCTTGAGTAGAGTTAACCGACTGTCAGGCATTAAATTTAATGACATGAAAATAAAAAAACAGAGAGAAAAAGAATAATCCAAACTGAACACAACATGAGAGATGAAACTCAGCAGACAACATTAACATTAAACAGTCGGTGTCTATATATTAAATATGTCTGTCTATATTCGTTGATTTCGTTGTCGTCATCGTAACCATTGTCGATAACTTGATGTCGGCTGATGAAGGTATTTACCAACAACTATAACTTTTTTTGAAGTCTTTTACGAAATAAAAAATGTACTATGAGTTCGTGTTCTTTAGTTTTTAGCCTTTCTAGTAGACCTTAAAAGTTCCTTACTATTGTAAATTTGTGTCACATAAAATTAATCATATTTTTATATATGTATGTATATTCGTTACAGCCAAAATAAATTTCATTGTATATATAGAAACTGATAAATCTGTGTGGAATATACAAAAGAATGCTTGAATAAAACGAAGATTTTGCAATATCCATACTACATACAGAACAACATTGAATATTGCAACGTAGAGTAAACGATAAATCGTTAAGACCGAATTCATTTCGGTGGACTCTTTACTGTTTTATTCTAGGTACAATATTGGTAAATTGATGATGATGTAGTATGTATTTCGTTTTTACCTGATTTTATTCTTCAATAGCAACAAATGTTAATTCTGTTGTTTCGTTTTGCACAAAAAATATTTCAACCATAACAAGAAGGAAAAAAAGGAGAACACACATGCAATCATTTATCTGATAAATTTACCACAGGCGCCACGTTACCTATAACATTTAGCAACAATAATAGGAAGTACAATGAACGATTCCTGTCTGTCCGTTTATATGAATGTCGCTTCAAATCCAAAAGAAACTATCTAAAATATACCTAAATTTTAGCAGAGTAATATTAATTTGTTTCAATTACAGAACAAATGCAATGTTTTGCTAACTGAATATTTATTTAGAATTAATTAAAGTCTATAATTATTATAAAATATTTATTTTCTTTTATAATTTCAGATCAATAAGCATTTTGGAAAGTATTGTGTTAACCGTGAAAAGTGTTATATTTTCATCGTAACTCAAAAAATATCCCAACGATATTGCCGTTTTTATTTGTGATAGTTTGTATATCTATGTATCTGTGAATAAGGATAAGTGAGACAAAAATACGCGTTAAAAGAAAGATAAAAGAGAAAGTTAAAGTAAGCGCTCAATATTAGGGGTCGGTAACACGGTGGCCTTCTACGAAAAAATCACTTAAAGCGAATAATGCAAATAGGATAAGATCGATGTTACCACTACATTTAATGTCTCTCCATGAAATTTCAAAGCGAGAAGAAAGAACTATGGCGTTATGCGTCAAAAAACCTAACAGCTCCTGTCCGTGGGACGACCAGACAGCAACCACTGCCGCATCGCCTTCCACATCAACGCCTCCCTCAGCCCCGGGAATTAGCCACAGGGGCGCAACAATATCCCAGGTCAATGTTATTGGGCTGTTGCGACGGCTATGGCGAGAGCTCAATGTCATCGACGTCCACGATGAGCATATTAAGGCAAGAAAATGTCAGTACCCCTCCACCTCCTTACAGTTCTGTGCCTCAGCTGGACTGTTCCACGAATGCAATGGAGCAGGACTATCGCTTGACATTTCGTCAGCATCAGACGTATGCCACAGACGGAGAAACGGAAACTTCTGTCTCGGCGACAGACTCCGATACGGGTTACAGTCGAAAGCAAGCACCCAGCAGAGATGGTTGCAACTACGTAAACACTGGCGACATAATGCTCGTCGACGATTACGAAAAATTGAACGAGACCAGCACGTCCAGCAGTTACCAGTTAACAGCGGAGCTGCAGAAGAAAGCTCGACGTACGTCTCCTCAACCAACAGTCCCAACAAATCCCCCAGTAGTTGTGAACTCAACAACTACAACGTCAGCCTCTTCCACGACATCGTTTGCCGCTACCGCTGCCAAGATTCTAAGGAATTGTTGTGGCGGCACCTTCGGCTCTTCGAACTCCGTTATAACCACCCCTTCCAATACGAATACCAGCCACAACAACAACAATACCTGCAACAAAGTAAATTACGAACACTCCAGAAGTGGTTCAGATCAAATGGCCAACAACGGCAGCATCAACAACTATACACCCGAACAATATTTCAGCACCCTAATGAAACAACTCAAGAACAGTCAAATAACGTCACTGCTAAAAGCAGTGAAATCCCGACACGACCAAGTAATCCCCATCATGCCAGCAACCAGTACCACCTCTTCCACTTCGTCTCAGCGCTGTTGTGTGGCCAACTACCAAACAAATTGTATACTAATACGACGTGCCGAAATTCTCGGCGAAGAACCATATGTGATAGCATGTCGCCTATTTTTTTGGCGAGATCTGAAAAACGCCTCCCAACTAAAACGTCTGCCCGTGTGTCCGAACGAACGCGACCCAGTGTATGTATGTTGCAATCCATTACACTGGTGTCGCATCCTCGAAACAGGTATGTTGCACATTCACTGGTTTATTTTCTTTTTACATCTTTCCATTTCCTCGAAACGCCAACAAACAAAATACATATGCACATGTATGTATATATGTATATCTGTATGAATATACATATGTACGATCTCATACAACGAATGAAGAAATTGCTTTATTCAAAATTTACATTTTTGAAAACGTATAGACATTTTTGCACTCGAATGCATTGAACACAACATACCAAAGGGTAACTATTTCAAATACTTTGAATGTGTCTATAAGCGTTTTTGGCGACGTTTCGCCAACTAAACAAATAATAAAATCAAGCTATAACGAAAACAAATAGCAAAAAAATAAAACGAAAACACAACCACGCGAACTCTATGGCAACGGGTAGAATTTTTTCCTGGCGCCACTTGCTAAATTTACGCAAATCGTTTGTAAAGAATTTAGCCGCCATCATTTACTACTACAAACACGCACTTACACATACTATGTATGATCTCGTACGCAGTGTTACCATATGTCAAGTTTTCCTTTTTTTGCAAGTTTTTTGAGATTCAAAAAAGTTTTCAAGTTTTATTCCAATACAAAAAGTTTTTTGAAAATTTATACAGTTTTTCAGTTTTTATTTTATTTAATCAATAAATAAGTTTAAAATAAAAAAACAATGTTTACCATTAACAAAATAATATTTTATACCATTAATATTCGAGATATTCCTAAAAACTGAAAAAATTTACCGGTGTTGATGACCTTAATCCCTTAGAATAGACGTTAAGGACACAATGAACTTCGACCATATTGTAGAGATTTTGTGCAGCCCATTGGTTCACCATACTAGGCCAAATTCGCGCATGAAAATAAATGGATTAATCGGTGAGTGTTTGAAGATATCATCTGGGTCTGGGTAAGACAAAATCTTCGTGTTTCGAGTTCCCAATGACGGGTAGTTACAAAAGTTCAGAGGTTTCCTCTTGTAGTACACAGAATCTACATAGATTCATCATGACATTTCAAGTGTAAATTTATGGTGTCTAAGACCACAATATCCAGTAATTCCTTGCTACTGATGTTAAGGAAAAGTTCTGTACCAATTATCATTAAGCTATTCAAAATTCCTCAATTTGCTCATTTTTTCACTAATTTTTCTTGGGTATTTTGTAATTTTAGTACAAAAAAAGTTTTTTTTGTTGAAAAAAACTTTTTTTCATAAAAATAAAAAGTTTTCTTCAAAAAATATATGGCAACACTGCTCGTACGCCAATATGAACTCACGCTTGCATACATACATATGTATGCAGTTTCGAAAATCCAAGACATTTTCGTTCAATCACTGATCAATTTTCCACTCTCGCTCGCTCTTCCTCTCTATCATCAAATAAAACATGTTCTCAATGTATTCTTATTTATACATACATTTGTATGTATTTATTTCATTTTAAGAAAACCAGTTTATTATTTTGTAAAATGAATGATTCGTCAGGCATCGGAAAGTCATTTGGAATATTATTAGAAAAACAACTATATACAAACTTTACAATTAATTACTTACAAATAGTAAAATTTTAAGTTTTCATATTAAAGGTTTCATTCGTTATGAAGAAATATTATGGATTTCCTCAAAAATCTTCTTGGACCTTATAGAATATTTTTGGCAACCGTTGCTCTAGTCAAATTGAACAAAATAGCTTAACATCTTTGATTAGTACAAACATGTTGCCAAGTCCATATATCTTATGTAGGGTATTCAATTTGTTTGTTTAGTACATATTTTGAATAAATAATTTTTGGCCGTGAGATCATTGTTAAGAATTTCTATTTTTACTTTATTTACAATAACAACAGTAACAATGGCAAACAGACGATAATACTCCCGTACATTTGTAAGTCAGACAAGTCAACTTAAGTCGAGTCAAGTCACTTAATGGCCATTACTTGATTTAGTTAAAATCAGAGAATATTGTCTAAAACAAACGTTATCTTTGGATAAGTGTCTATCCGTCCGTCTGTCTGTCTGCCTGTCGACGGATGTGTTTATCTGTATGATGTTTTAATGGTTTAATATTCTTATTAGTTGCTGTTTTCGTAGTTGTTGTTGTTTCTGAAGCCAGTTCGTGTATGTTTGCATGTATGTATGTGAGTGCGTATGTTCATATGTACAGAATTAAGTGATTCTTAGTCTATAAAAACAAACAATTTATACTCGCACACAAACATATTGACATGTTAGCTCATTTAGCCAACTTGTTCATTTGCTTTACAATAAAACTTAATAGCACACAGCAATAGCAACAACAATAGCACAAAGAAACAGCAACAATATCAATAATAATAACGACCAACCGACCATCCAATCAACTTACCGACTGACGACGACAGCGGTAGTTGAAAATAATTTAGCGGCAGCAAGAGCAGCAACAAAAATATAATAAAAGTAAAAAAAACACAACAGAGATATACAAACAAACGTATGAATGTATGACCGTTTGTATGAATGTGTATTTAAAATTGTGGTCTGTCGGTCGTTGGCGCCTGAATGCTTGGCGCCACTTTACGTGGATACTGCCATAAATATGACTGACTGAATGTATGTATCTGTGTAAACGCCTGAGAGTGCTTTATAAATTTTTAACGTGTCTGTGTGTGACGTATCTACACTTTCATACATACACACTTAGTCACTCACTAACAAATTCACTCACTCATGGTAGCGAGTGAGTTCGTGAGTAAACAAGTTAGTAAGTTAGTTTAGTTTATTCTTTAGTTAGTTAGTTCAGTTATACACAAATTCATACTTTTTAGTGACGACTATCTTAGTGTGTTTGCATTTGCGTGCATTTCATGAATTATACTACATCTATACATACATACATACAACATATTATCTTTCTTTTGACTGCTTATTGTCAAAGATACTAACTCACTAACTAACTAAGTAGACAGTAAAACTGACCGTCATACAAAATGTTGTCTGACTGCCTGTTATTCAGAAAGCCAAAAAAATGTGTTTATGTTTGATTGTTGTATTGCCTGTAAAGGCAGCAACAGCAGAGGTGGTCTGGCATATTCGACTACAATATTTTTATAACTATGTATTATGTATGTGTATTTGTATGTGTAAAACAATAATACCTTCTACCCTGCAGTATTAAAGTCAATCTTTATCTAGCTGTATATCTACTTAAGCTATGTATAGACTGTTATTAGATCTTACAATGTTGCCAGATCTGACAATGAGGTGGCAATGTACTGACAATGAAAAATTGTTAGCAACCGGTAAATTGTCAGTTCAGACGATTTTAAGAAAACATAGTGTTGTCAATAGAAATAATTTATCTGACAATGGTGTCATTATCAGATACATAAAATTCACACATATGACAATAAAAATTGTTAGATAATTATCTTACAATGGTCTGGCAAACGACTATCAAAATTTTTCAATTGTAACTTGATTTATATATCGAATTCTAATTTCACTAAGAAATTTTAATTTTAAGTTTGACAGATTTTTGGAATTTACAATTCCGAAGAAGACTTCTAAATTCATTGTATAAATATTTTAAATAAAGTTCTTTTTGACACATTTTATAATATCATAAAAAAATATATTTTGCTTATTTTAAAAATATTTTTGAATACAAATTATAACTTGAAAAAAAAAATCGTTAGTAAAATACAGAGCAAATGCAACTGGACTAAAAAAGTATTGGCCTGTGTAATTGAATCAAATTTTGTTGACCTGTGTTATGGTTTAAAGCTATAAATACTTATTTTTTCTTAAACTTAAATATGGCATAAGAATTGTTACGAAAGCTGAGGAAAAAATTTAAAAAAAGTTATAAATGGCTGTTTAAGTTTTCAAAAACATCGAGCACCGCAAGATATAACATGTTGCCTATAGGGACTACAACTTGCAACTTTCGCAGTCTATAAAGTACATATGTATGTGCGTACATACATCTATACTTACGTATGTTTGTATATCTGAATGAGTATATTATTGAATGTCGGCGTGCAAGTAATTTAACCTTAAGTACATATATACATACTTACATACGAATTTGATCGTTTTACTTGTTTAGTGATTTTAACTTGGCCATTTCTGTTGTAATAACTAAGTACATACATATTATTTTGATTGTGTTTAAGTTGTCGATGAGCATAATGACGATGTTCTTGATGTTTTGGTTGATGCAGTTGTTATGTTTTGTTGTTACTGTTGTCTTGTTCTCAAGTTGTTTCCTTTTTTATTTTTTTGTTTCTTTTTAATTTATGTCAGATTCGTGACGTCGTGTGTGCGCTTCAAGGATGGAATCCATTTATTTAACAAACAAACCATGCTCTCAAGTATCATGATTTGTCAGCATTCATTTTAGCCAGAAGCCAATATAAAATCACTTACATACATACAGATATGGAATATACATAAATATGTATGTATGTTTATATGCACAATATAGCTGCAGACAGCTAATACAGAACAGGCATGGGAATTTGTGATCAGAAGACAAATTTACCAAAGATATGTATATATAGACGATTTTAGATCTGACAATGTACTGACAATGAAAAATTGTTAGCATCAAGTAAATTATCAGTTCGGACCATTGTAAGAAAACCTTACCTTACAATTTAAGAACCTTTTGGCGACTGGATAATTAAAGGCTCAAAAACAATTAGTTCATAGCTGCAATATATGTCTTATATTTAAGTAATTGAAATGTCATTATCCACTTCTATTTAATTTTTTTAACAATTTTGTTTCACTTTTACTACACTTTTGTTTGTTTTTTTTTTTAATGCCCAGTGTTTCATAAAATTCGCACAACTGACAAAAAAATATTGTCAGAGAATTATCTTACAATGATCTGGCAATAGCAATGTTACGCCAGATGCCTGACAATATTATTGTTTTACAATATAATGCTTTTTTGACAACGTGGCAAGGCAGCAATTTTCTGAACATTTTTTGACAACATTGTAAGATCTGACAACCGTGTATACATAGTATAA